TTTTTTTATTTATGCTTCAAAGTTTTAGATTAAGAATGTTAATAAGAAATATTTTAATTAAATAATTAATAAAATTAAAATTAATTTTATTTTTTATATAAATTATAGTAAAAAAATATAATAAATATATTATTAACTTATATTCTAAAGTTTAAGGTTAAAAAAATTACATTTTTTACTTTTTAAAAAAGAAAATAATCTTTCATTCTTTATTTTAACTATTTTAAAAATTAAATTCAAAATTTTAAATTGGAGGCTAAAGTTTTTAATTGATACAATAAATCCCTTTTATTTATGCTTGATTGATGCTAATTTTATTTTACAATGGCCTTTTTTACACACTAGTTTAATAGCGTACCATTTAGACATTTCGCTCTCTCTATATTCCTTTCCCTCTGTAGGTCCACAGTAGAGAATTTCTTTTTTTTTTTTTTTTGAACATATTTGCAGGGATTCGAACTCAGCCCGGAGAGGGGGAATGCACCGGGTAGCTATTGTCACTAGGTCGCAAGGGCCAGGTGCCAGTAGAGAATTTCTAATCAGTCCCATCTTATTAATTATATGATGTACTTGTTAAAGCAAGTCCAAAGTTTGTTATAAGAGTGTGTCCCACGTCAAGGACCATCAATGAGTTAATGACAAGGGTGGTCCATTTCAGCTTTGAGATATTGCATATACGCAATATATATCAGTGTCCATATCTTAAAGTTGAGAATTTGAAACTGACTATGGACCCTTTTGTGGGTGCGGTAGGTATCCTTTGTCTTCGTCTTTTTTATTTTTATTTTTATTTTTTAATATAAGGGTGGGATAACTTGTATTGAGAATACCCTTAACAACATATAGATGCACATTGAATCCACAAAAACTTTTTAGGTATCCCTTATCCTTAATTCATGTTTTTGAGAAGGTTTTAATCATTTAATTGATGTAACCAAATTTGTTGCCAACATAGGCCAGCCCCACCCTACTGAATTTATTGAAAAAAAAAAATCTAATAAAGAAATCAATAGCTAAGAAATTATATGAAGTCTTGCATGCACGTAAGTGAAATTTGAATTTTTTATTATTAGTATTAATGTAACATTATGCATATTAGATTTGTTTAATTTATACTCTAAGAACACAAATTAAAAAAACCAATATAGCTAGTATAATGGTGAATTTGGCTGATAATAATCTTACCATTTTCAGG